AGTGAAGAAAAGTTTTAAATTAAAAGTTTCTCTAAATTCCACGTTCTTGGGCTTAAAATACAGCTTTCAAGCTTAAATGAAGTCTCGAGCAGTAAGTTTCGTTCCTTCTTCCCTTTTTGTCCCGCTTTAAGCCCGCCCCGTTTCGGGGGGGGGGGTGGATCTCCAACCCTTCCCCACACGCCGCTCTTTCTCCAGTCAATCTAGCAAGCCGAGACTTCTTCGTTTATACAGAAGTTTGATTAACTCGCTGCTTAGATGAGTTTGATTATTGCCGGGTTTATTTTCGCTTATTTTCTTGTCCGCTCGTCCGGAGGTCGGCTCTTGTCACCATACTGGCTCCACAGCATCAGGATCTCTCGGGGACAGGCAAGCCTCAAATCCCTCAGTTGTCGCCTTGGGAGAGGCTTATCTCGGCTCCCCAGGCTGAGAGTCTCCTCAGATAGTCCTCTTGGTGATACTCTCACCTGGGATTGTTGGGCAATATTTAGGTCATAGGCCTTCTTGATGGTAGGACTGTCCTTCAGGAATAGTCTACCAGAGTGGGTGTGGAGGGCACCTTCATTTGCTGCGTTCAGGAAGGTAAGACTGTCTTGTTCCAGAGGGCGTTAGATGATTGGTAAATGGTTTTGGTTGCATTTCAACTCTGTGTATTGGTTTTCAGCTGTGTGTTTTAATTGTGTACCAATTTAACTTAATACTGGATGCTTAGATGGTTGTGTCCTTGTTGTTTTTGTTGTTTTGCCAGTGACCTTCAATCTGTGAGGAGATAAGGCAGGGTATAAATCTTTCAAAAAAATAAAATCATTCCCATCTGCACCCTTTCTCCAATCCAAAAACCCCACAGCTATTTTTAGCTCAACTAGGGAAAGGAAGTAGGTACCTGTATGGTACCTCCCCCCCCCCCTTGAGCTGACAGGGAGATATGTTTCTGGAAGGTGCAGGGCAGAAGAGTTAACACATAGACATTCCCCAGTAATGTGGCCCTTCTAGGGTTGCCAGCCACCAGGTCCCACTGGGAGATCCCCTGGTTTTGGGGGCTTCTCCCCACTGCAGAGCAGCTGGCTGGCAGGGAAAATGCCACCCCTAAACAGGGATGTCACCATGCAATATCCCCAATGTGATGATGTCACCCAGAAGTGATGTCATCACATCAGACACTCTAGTTTTGGGCAAACTCCATGATTTAAGCCCAATTTTACCATAGAGTTCACCCGAAAACCAGAGTGTCCCCCACACAATGACATCACTTCTGGGTGATGTCATTGCATCAGGGATGTTGCACAACATCCTTGGCCACCACTGGAACATCCCCCCCAATCCCCCACCAGAGCAGCGAGGGGACTTGGCAACCTTACGCCCTTCCCCTATGGGGAACTTGTCATGAATGTTTCTTGAGGCAAACTTAAGTGCCAGGGATCGCCAGTGTCCTACGTCATATCCCGTTTAGCCCTAAGCCCTGCCACTGGTTTCAGTGGGACTTAAATACATCTGACTTTGGCAGGGGGGCCACTGCTTGTTGGTAGAGCCTAACAGGCCTCAACCTCTATGCCCTGTTTGTTTGGCCTTCCAGAGCAACTGTTATGACCACTGTGTGAAACAGGAAGCTGGACTAGATGGACTGCTTGTCAGATCCAGTGGGATTTCTCTTCTGTTCTTATGCAGGATTAACTTCTCCAGGATAAGGTGCGGAAGTTACATAGTTCCTAGAATAAGGGACTTTATTGCAACAGATAGATTTTGTCAACAAAAAAAACACCAAAAAAACCCCACCCAATTTCAGGAAGTCTCCTGTATTTTCCTGTCCTTCTCAACTCCCTGCTCTCTAATATTCTGTAGTTCGTAATTTGTAAAGAAATTCTGAAGCTGTTAAGGAATAATGTCACTCCCATCTTTAAAAAGGGTTCCAGAGGAGATCCGGGAAATTACAGGCCAGTCAGTCTGACGTCGATACCGGGTAAATTGGTGGAAACCATTATTAAGGAAAGAATTAGTAGGCACATAGATGAACAAAACCTATTGAGGCAGACTCAGCACGGTTTCTGTAAGGGAAGATCTTGTCTCACTAACCTGTTAGTGTTCTTTGAGGGGGTGAACAAACATGTGGACAAGGGGGATCCAATAGATATTATTTACCTTGACTTCCAGAAAGCTTTTGATAAAGTTCCTCATCAAAGGCTCCTAAGTAAGCTCAAAAATCATGGGATAGAAGGACAAGTCCTTTTATGGATCAAAAACTGGCTAGTTCATAGAAAACAGAGAGTGAGTGTAGGTGGGCAATTTTCTCAGTGGAGGGTGGTAAGCAGTGGGGTACCGCAGGGATCAGTACTTGGTCCACTGCTTTTTAACTTGTTCATTAATGATTTGGAGATGGGAGTAAGCAGTGAAGGGGCTAAATTTGCGGATGATACAAAGTTGTTCAGGGTGGTGAAAACCAGTGAGGATTGTGAGGCACTCCAAAGGGATCTGTCAAGGATGGGCGAGTGGGCGTCAACATGGCAAATGGGGTTCAATGTGGCCAAGTGCAAGGTGATGCACATTGGAGCCAAAAATCCTAAATATAAATACACATTGATGGGGTCTGAACTGGCAGAGACTGAGCAAGAGAGAGATCTTGGAGTTGTAGTGGATAACTCACTGAAAATGTCGAGACAGTGTGTGACTGCAATAAAGAAGGCCAATGCTATGCTGGGGATTATTAGGAAGGGTATTGAAAACAGATCAGCCAATATAATAATGCCCCTATATAAATCAATGGTGAGACCTCATTTGGAATACTGTGTGCAGTTCTGGGCACCACACCTTAAAAAGGATATTATAGCTTTGGAAAAAGTGCAGAAAAGGGCAACTCGAATGATAAAAGGGTTGGAACACTTTCCCTATGAGGAAAGGTTAAAGCGCTTAGGGCTCTTTAGCTTGGAGAAAAGACGACTGAGGGGTGACATGATCGAGGTTTATAAGATTATGCATGGGAAAGAGCAGGTAAAGAAAGAGGTACTTTTCTCCCTTTCTCACAATACAAGAACTCGTGGGCACTCCATGAAACTGCAGAGCGGTCGGGTTAGAACGGATAAAAGGAAGTACTTCTTCACCCAAAGAGTGATTAACACATGGAATTCACTGCCACAGGAAGTGGTGGGTGCTACAAGCATGGACGGCTTCAAAAGGGAATTAGATAAGCATATGGAGCAGAGGTCCATCAGTGGCTATTAGCCACAAGGTATAGCTAGGGGCTCTGGGGCAAGTGATGCTCTGTCTTCTTGGTGCTTGGGGGGGGGGTCAACAGTGGGAGGGCTTCTAATGTCCTGGCCCCACTGCTGGACCTCCTGATGGCACTGGTATTTCTGGCCACTGTGTGACAAAGCCTTTTCTCAATGTTTTTAAATACTTGATCAGTATCAGTTCTGTTAAAGTTTAGGCAGGTTTTGTGCATGCGCAGTACTTAAATGCATATGCCCTTTTTGTCTTTACAGGTCCTTCATAGACAGCAATCGCAGCCTGCCAAGGAGAACTCGCCTCCGAGAGAAGAAGCCCCACCCCCACCTCCAGAGGACACGTGCACCAAAAAAACGAGATCCCGTACTAAGATTTCTCTGGAGGCCTTGGGCATCCTTCAGAGTTTCATCCATGATGTTGGTCTCTATCCAGACCAGGAGGCCATCCACACTTTATCTGCTCAGTTGGATCTGCCTAAACACACCATCATCAAATTCTTCCAGAACCAGCGTTACCATGTAAAACATCACGGGAAGCTAAAAGAGCATTTGGGGACTGTGGTGGATGTGGCAGAATACAAAGATGAGGAGCTTCTGACTGAGTCAGAAGAGAATGACAGTGAGGAAGGCTCCGAGGAGATGTACAAGGTGGAAACGGAAGAAGAGAACCCCGACAAAAGCAAGGCAGCGACTTCAGAAACTGACCAGAGATAATGTGAAACCCCCCCAGGCAAAGCAATACATTATTCCGACTTCTTTGGGGTGTGGGGGGGCGGGGGCTTCGTTTTTTTAAAGTGTTTGTTTTTTTCCGGTGTACATCGATGATGATGATATGCAAATTGAACAATTATTTTGCATAGTCCATCCAGACATTCCCTTAGGCACTTGAGTGTTAACACTTTTTTATGTTTGAGACAATGTTAATTGTAATTCACATGGTTAACCTTGCACTTATCAAAGGAACCTCTAGCAAGTTACAAGATGGAACAGACCAATGAAATCAACGAAGGAAATAGCTGTGTGGGTGTGTATATGTATATATTTACACATATACGTATAAATATATGTAAATATATATATATGTGAAATTTGCATGGGACGTAACTTTACAATCCGAAAGTATAGACTGTGAAATGAGCCCGTTAAAAATGAGTCGTGTTTTGTGTATTAAAAAAAAACCACTTCACAATGAGTTGCTTTGGCTTTTAGGTAAATTGCTGCCTGCTCTCAGGGTGTGGTGACTATTTTGGAAGACCTATTTATTTTCTATGTTTATCCCTGATCTTTTTATTAATTATTATTTGTGGCTTCCTCTTTGGCAGCTTGATAGATAATTTTTGAGGTATGCATTTGAAAACGTAGATCAACACTGCCAAAAAAATAAATAAACCCCGAAATTGAGGGAGAAGAAAAAATGGGGTGGGGGGTGGGGGAATCAGGGCACCTTAAAAAAATAAGATCCCAACCCAAGTAAGTTTTTTTAAAAAAACCCTCAGTCCACAATGCACATTTTTAAAGCAACAGAGTATATTTGTTTGGTTCGTTGTCTTCTCTGTATTGAACAGATGGATTTTTGTGGACCTTTTTTGTGGGAAATTCAGAGGACCAAAGACTTGTCTGCTGACAACGTCTTTGTGAAAAGTGGTTCTTATGAGATTTAATTGATGGAATTTCGCATCAAGCCATGCTTTGCAGAGGTGTTGTTTTCCAAAGGAGCAAGCTGTCCACCTCTTGCCGTGCAGCTTCCATTCACTGCTGTGGGGCTCGTGCATCCAGAGTGCTTATTTATTTGCCCCCCCCCCCCAATGTCTGTCAAGCATTAATGTTAAGGGACACTTTTCAATAACACCTTCACATGGGGCAACCTTGACTGGTTCTTTGTCAGCGAAAGGCTTTCCAGGACTGATATTCCCACTGTCTCTCATTTCTCCCACATTTGGATTCTTACGCTTTAGATTAATTATCTCAGTGGGACAAGCGGTTCTTAGCCAACCGCCAAGACATGGGCCTTACTGCAGTGCACGACACACTTGGTGGGAACATGCAGTCTGGACTTGCTGCTGCTCTAGGAAGCAAGAGTCAGGATTTCCATGTCGTCACTTCCTTCTCTTTTCCCAGTGACCTAGCATTCCCAGTCCCATTACATAAAGCAGAACGAACACTGACCGACTTTTCGGTAGCACGAGCATTAAAGCTGCAATCTACTATGGCCTCCGACAGGCTTTCAAAGCTGTGGTTCAGAAGTGGCACCAGCAGGCTCGCCATTCCTCTTCTGCAGAGTGATTTTTCAGAGGATATGTTTTTCCTCATGGCTAGGCTCTTGTTTCGTTTTGTTTTTTGGACATCTGCTTCATAACTTCTTAAACAAAGACCTCATGCAATATCACTCGGAAAGCTACGTTAACGTGTCTTGCACAGGCGTTGTAATATAACTGTTAATACTATTTATATATTTTGAAAGGTATAAAAGGCAGGCATTAAAACCATCCTCTGTATAGGTAGTTTACTCCGAACGTTAACAGCGTACAGGGAGAAGATACATTGCAATACAGGCTAATTCTAGCTGCTCAGTAACCTCTGGAGTTTTTAAAAAGGGACTTTTCCACAATCAATATATTGATGCCCACAGTGTACCTGCATACATTTCATATACCCTTGAACCACAATGTTGGCTTGCTCACTTTTTAAACTCTTCCTCCTTTCCTTTCCTCTGTAGTATGCTGCAGCTTTAATCAAAGTTCAGTAGGTGCTGCTTTATGTTCCCTGACTTACTCCTTTTCCAACTGTTAATCTGAAACTCTTGCTGAAATCACAACATTTATGTAATATCAGTCAAGCTCTCATAAGTTTATTCATCTCTTTGGCATCAGCGTATTTTTTTTTTTAAACACTTCAACCAAAAAATTTAGTAGGTATTTTTCCCCCCGATGCTGAGTCTTGCCTTTATTATTATTATTATTTTATTATTATTATTTTTAAAAATTTCACTGCCAATTTTGCAGTGGTTCTTTGAAGTAAATCTGTGGGCATTTTCGCCTGTGGTCTTGCCAGAACTTTGCGAATTACAATGCATATATGTCTATTTATTCAATATTCATCATATAATATCTATTTGGAAAAAGAATCTTTTCTTGTAGTGCCTCTTAACAAAGCACAATTTTCCGCCTTTTTGTGAAATAAGAGAAAACTTAAAAAAAATTGTGTTATTGCGGTATCAACAATGTGAATGAGGATTAACATATTGTAAATGTTCTTTTTCCATGTAAATCAACTTGATCTTCGTTATCACTAAGTGATAATTAAATTTTAACTTATGTGCATTGTTAGTCTGTTAGAATTTTTTGGTTGTTGAAATAAAACACATTCAGTAAATGATTTAATTTGTGAAGTCATTCTTGGGTGGGTCCTCAGTTTTACCTCCATGAATTGAAGCAAAACTTCAGAATCAAAAGTAACCCCCATTCAGTGTGTAGCGTGGTGTAGTAGTTAAGAGCGGCAGACTATAACTTGGAGAACTGAGTTAGAGTCCCCGCTTTTTCTCCACAATGAGGCCTGCTGGGTGACCTTGGGCCAATCACAGTTCTCTTAGAACTCTCTCAGCCCCACCTACCTCAGGAGGTGACTGTAGTGAGGAGAGGAAGGGAAGGTGATTGTAAGACACTTTGAGTCTCCTTATGGTATAGCAAGGTGGGGTATAAAAACCAGTTCTTCAACTAACTCATTCCTGATTCTAAAAATATGGTATGAATCACATAGAGCCCTTTTAGCCATGTAAAAGAGCTTGCAAAGTCAGTACTTGTGTTGTTCTAACTACAGCCCATTCCTGTTGTAGAACATGCCGTTTTTAAAATTTCATGAGCTAAAAAGCAGAAAGCACAGTTGAGAAATCACCTTCAGAAGATGTAAGCAGTCCAGATATTCCCTCTAACTGAGGGCCATAACTGACCCTTAATTATACCCTGATCTTTGGATTCTTAGGGTTAGTTGGCCAATAAAAATGAATGGTGTAATGAAATCAAAGATCGATTCAACTGTCCTCTCCGCCAATTTAATGCTGATTTCTTTTTTTAAAACAGCCACAGATGATGGCTTGTTAGGCACCCTTTGAAGAGGGCATGCACATCTTTTAATGGTCATATTTATTTCTAGCAGAGGTATCGCTCAGAAGTGTGTAATAGAGGGATGCTGAAACTAATAAAGACCCAAAAATGTATCAGAGAAGTTTGGAGGGATGCTTACAAATGAATGGAATGCAGGGGTCATTTCGTAGAAAAAGAGCTAGGGGGACCTATTAGCATAACTCATTAGCATATGCCACACCCCCTGACATCACCGGAAGTGTGTCCTCCCCACAGCCGGCGACGACCTCCAGCGGGCACCAGCAGGGAGCTCCAGGCCCCGCCCTCCCGCACCTCACCCGGGGGGATGGCGTCCCCCCGCGTCCCCCCCCAAATGACCCCTCATGGAATGTATTTCCCAAATTCCAAAGTCTGTGTGTGAATTCACTCCTCAGAAACTACAGACATTATTAAGGCACCCTGGATTCATAATGTTGGGTAGTAATCAGCCTCCCATTCACCAGTTTCTGTGGATTCTAGGCATGTGAATGTGACAGTCTGGACAGTGTCTTAAGTATTTGCATTTTTGCGTATTTTAGGGTTCATATGTGCTTTTGAATTTTTTTTAAAGGTATGTGCTGTTTTTCTTCATCCCTCATGGCCTGGTCCTTCTTTGAAAGGGTGCAGGTTTTGACCAGGGTCTCCAGGCAGACTGAAACTTTTGTGACTATGTGGTGCCTCTTAAAGTTTCCTGACTATCTCTTATCCCTAAAATGCTGGAAGAGTGTTCAGCTGTGAAATTGACAAAAGCGTTTTGCTCCTGCTTGTAATGGGAAATTAAGGTGTTATAGCTCGGGAGACCATCACTGGAGGTTTTTGACATGAGCGTTCCGAACTCGCGTTCTGCTGTTGGGGAAGAAGGGAGAGAAGTCACCAGGATTGAGGTGGCTGGGGGGAGTGATCTCTAGGGCATGCATATGGGCCAGTGGACTTGTCCCAAGGAGCTGGGTGGTTCTGAAGGGTTTCAATTAGCACCATGTCTCAGTTAAAAGGTTGCCTTTTGCTTTATGGGTGGCCCTTCCCACAAATGTGGAGATATTTTTAGAGTATGGATGTACCTGTTGAAAGGTGTGAAGTGACTTATTAGCTGAGTCTACTCATGCTCAAAGGTGTGGAGTGACTCCTGGGTTATGACTGGCCTTGTTCAAACATGTGGGATGTTTTTTGAGTGTCGAGGGGCGTCTGCCCTGAAAAAGAGAGTGAGATATAGGGGGCTTTGAAGTAAATAGTTAATAGCTACCAATATTTGTCCAAGTTTTTGGCCTCTTAGGACAGAGCACCTGCCACAAAACCCCATGCGTACTATTTTTAAAAAGACCATTAATTTTATAACCCATAGATAAGTTGCAGCCAGACATTACAAAATTAAGGAAATAGCACAGTTTGACATCTCTCCCTGCCCCCACCCCAAAATGAATATTCAGTATATTTGTTACGATCTAAGATCAGCATATATATCAACAATTATGTAGACGTATGTATTGTTACGTATCTGATCATGTTAATTAGTAATGTAAGCATACATTGCTACATAGCTGAATGTGTTAATTAGAAGTGTAAACATACATTACTAAAACAAAATCCATTACATTTGTTAAAATG